TCTGTTTTTTTCTCCCCTATCTAGTTTGGAAAGACGTACGAGGACCACTCTTAGTAGATGACGGCGTACCTTATGATGATAGTGACATCACAACATCTGTAAGGGTCACCTGTGGCTAAGTAATATCATGACTATAGATATTTGTTATGGTCACTATGGCTGGTACGATCGTGGTCATAGATTGTACCATGATTTGACCAGCCGAAAATGAGTCTTGGTAAATTATCGTATCTATATCTGATATGGTAATTCCACTTGGGTAGTTGAAAATCTGTATCTGCCCTCAAATATGGAAGTTGTAATGATTTCATGAAGTATGACATGAAAATCTGAGCATGTCATGATTTATTTGATTTTCTCTATTATCTAACATGATGTATATTTGGTTGTCTGTATTAACTTACCGTTTTCTTAACAAATAAATGGTTTTTCATAATGTGAGATAGGTAAACGAGGAGGGTAAATGGTAAGCTCTTAAGCTAAAATAATTAACTTTTGAAATCTCATGATGTTAATTTAATATTGTTTTTCTTACTGAGCATATAGAACTCACTTTTTTCATGTCCCCCCCCCCTCCCCAGATAAGAATAAAAGTGAGGAACCGCAAGCTGATCTACCCTTGAAAGTTTATGAGGATCCTATGGTCCACAAGTCTGAGTGTATGACTGTTCCCGCACTCTGATGAGTCCAATAACATAGTGAAATTAGTGACCTTTATGTTTTATTTTGTATTTTACAGCCACTTCTGGTTGAGTATATGTATATATTAGAACTCATATGTATTTATAGAGGATTTGTAATAATTTTGTTCCGTTGCATAAATTTTATCATGCACTCGTTATTTTGTATCTGTATCTAACACCCATTTGCCTTAATTAATATTTGAGATGTCACATATTAATTTTTGCATATAAGTGAAGCACATACTCAATATTCATCCAAAAACAATCAGTATTAGTGCAATGCTCATTTAAAAACTTTAAGCATGGACAACATTTACAAGACATTAATATTGGATCGGAGTAAATCATGGAAATATCTCAAATTTTTTTACGCATCTATAAGATCTAAAATGCAATGGAATACATGTTTTATGATTGCATAAATCACATAGTGAACTATAACCAAAAGTTGGTTGGAATCCACATTGAAGTTGAAATGCTAAATTGAAGTGGCTAATGTTGTGTGAGCTCGTGAAATAAAATTGTCCAACTCGTAAGTCACACATACATGAAGTGGCAAGAGTTTAGGCTCCATGACTAATATGAACTCAAAGTTTCCTTTGTAACTCATGGAATTTGTCATTAACGGCTTCCTTCCATGCCTTATTTCATAAGAAACCTCCTAGTGACTATATTTCGTTATAATTATATTCTACCCATGCCCTACTTTCATTCATTTAATATTATTTTGGTCTTGTTGACATAAAATATATCGTTAATAGCCTATCTCTTTCTATTTTTATATATAAAAAGTTAAAAGGTCATCATATAATAATCATAAAATTGAAATAGAAAACAAAAAAGGGATCTACATATTTTTTTTAAAAAAATCTTTTGTATTAAGTAATCTAGTATTCTGGTACAAAAAGATAATCAATTTTACCGTTCGATTATCAATGAGGTTAGACTATTGACAACTTCTTTGTCTAGCAACAGTGATTGTATATCGGTGGTACGTCAGAAATTAGACATTCAATACAAAATTATTATATTTATCAACATAATTAGTGCTTGAAAATTGGCGAAAAGGCTACTCCGAGGCCCTGAATTCTAGTTATAGAGACCTAGAAGTTATGATTATTTCATTATTGATTTTTTTCTCAACATTTTTTTGAAGGGTTTCTTTTTTTTTTTCTTTGGCAATGAACCAATATAAAAGTGTGTTCTTTTGAGGTTAATAGACCTTTTTTTTTTTCAAAGAAAAAAAGAAATACGAAAAGGCTATATTAAATAAAAAGGTTAATTGCATCTTCAAAATTTGGCCAAGCAACCCATCTGGCTTCGTTGCGAGCAACCCTATTAAGCTCTATTGGGATCGAGCCACGTTACAAATAACAAAATTTTTAACCTAGGCTCGTGCTTCCAAAATTTCTTTTTCGATGCTCAGGTTGGGTAGAAGCATGCTGAAGAAATGGAACTAACAACTAATTGGGCGTTACAGTGAAGGCCTATTTTTGTAACTCTTGAGCGACCTGCATGCAGAGAAGCGCAGCTTCACTTTCGGCTGCCAGGAGATCTGTGTTTGGATATCTGTTCGACAAGAGCACGCTGCTTTCCGTTCTGTTTGTTGGTACACGCAATAAACGCTTTTTCTCTTTCTATTGTGCATGAGAAGCTTGCTTCAGAGTTTCAATCCCTGTGCTCATATCCTTGTAGCCGTGAGAGGCTTTGCTAAGAAGAGAAGCTTCAGTGAATAGATATTCTCTATTTATTTCTTTCACATATTGGAATTGCGTGCCTTATTTTCCAGGTAAGGTCTCCGTTCCTTGTTTGATTTCTCCATCGCCAAACTTGATCTGTTAAACTGGAGGCAAATAGAAAGATGTTTTACCATATTTCTACTTATCTGTTGTTTTGCTGCTTCTGCGTTTTGAGGGGATAGATGATAAAATCTTTTATGGAAACAAAGTTGAGTAGATCGGGTTTAAAACCCGAGTTTGATGCAATCCATAGAATGCTAGCTTGATGGCATGTTTGGAAGAGATGAATATATGATTTTTTCTCTTGTTCACATAGAACACAATTAGAGCTCTCTGAGTCTGGATTTTCATAGATGCCTGGAAGACTCTGGTGGATAATTCTCCGCCAAAAAACTTAGTGCTTTTCCTGGATTCTAGAATTTCATAGGAGATTCTAATCAATCTGATTGCTCCTAGGATGAGACCTAGCAAGAGCTCCAATTAGCACTTTATAGGCTGTTTTTGTACTGAATTTCCCACTTGGAGCATAGGTCCAGGGTCATCTTTCTTGCAGTCCTGCCCTGGAAATTATTTAAATTAAAAAGTATTTTTTATGGAGTTATTTTTTGCATTTCGTCTTACTCACATTGTGACATAGTGATGGAGATGGAGAATTGATTCAAGTGGATGATGAGAATGGTACTGGTATGAGTGAGGAAGGAAGATGAGCAGGGCACATAGTGATGATAGAGGAGGGATGTCAGTTGGTACTAAGAAAAATGTCGTGAAGATCCACCATGTGTTTTGGATGAGTTTTGACAATCTTGGGCACTGAGCTTTAGCTTTTAATTGCCATTGAAGTTTGTAGATTGCAGGTTTTCTGTAATTGGTACTTGCAACAATAAAAATTCAAAGGGAAAGGGGGGGCCTTGTTGGATATTTAAAGAGATTATAGTGGACAGTTGATTATCAGAAAAGGCGAGTTGAATGAGATAAAGATAATGTGAAATGAGAAGGCTTTTTCTCTAGCTGAAGTGATGGTTAACGGGATCACCTCTTGGAATGTGAGGGCATTAATTTTAGAGGCAAAAGAGATATAATTAAGTGCTTCTTGAAAAGAGTTGGGAGGGGGGAAATTGTTCGTTTAGAGTAACCAAAGATTGAAAATATGAATGAGGAATTGGTGAGAATTGTTCGGGATGGACATAAAGTGTGTTTGGAGGAGTTGTGGGACAATAGCAATTTAGGGTTGGTGTAAGGCTGAAGGCTCATCCCGTTTACCTATGAGTTCAAAGTAAGATGCTCATGCTATTTAGTAGTTTGTGTTTATCTTAAAAAAAAAATTGTTACTAGTTTGTATGGCAAGGGAGAGAGCACCGGAAGATATTTGTTGCTGGATTTATTTCAAAAAAAAAATATTTGTTGCGGGGTGACCTTGAGGTTTGTACAGCAATGGGAGGAAACATCACGGGTCACTGGAGTGAATTTCAATAGGGTGATGCATTCACATGAAAGGTAAAAAAGGGGGCAATCTGGGATCAAGTTAATGTGAGTTTAGGATATAGTGAACGAGCTAAGGATCATAAGTTTACCCCTTCAAATAGCTAATGGTGCAAGGCTCTGAAAGTAAGAATTATCTTCTTATGGTTATGTGTATGATAACAAGAGGGATAAGAATTATCTTCTTATGGTTACGGTTATGATGACAAGAGACTTTGAAAGTAAACAAAATACTAGTTCTTATATATTCACTAGTTTTCTTCATGCTAAAAATTAGCGCAGTAGGGATGACCTCTTGTTTCTCTTAGAGCCTACTTGTTTAGCTTCCTTACTTTATTACCTTTTGATGGTTCAGATTTATGGTTCTCCAGCTCCAACAGTATTTTTCAGCCATTAGCATCAATATTTGACTTAAAACCATAGACATTATCCTTGTGGTGTTAATAATTCTGTTTTTTGTGAACGCAGACATGAATGTCATATTTTAACAGAAATATAGGATGTTGAGAATTTGATTCTAGTATCCATATATAATATGCTTTATTTCTTTCTTTATCGCATAATCCAAAACTTTGAGATTGAGTGTTGCAGAGGGCTAATAATTGTTGGCAAGAATATAAACCACTTAATTTGCATGCTCTTTTACTTATTTATGTAAATATTTTTAATTTTTCTTTCCAAGTAGCAAAACTGAAAACCATTTCTTGGTTTCTCTCTATTTTCTTTGACCAGCGGCTCTTCTTGTAGCTTTTCTTCTGTTTCACTATTTCAGGGGTTTTTTTCCTTCTCCAAGACACTGAATTTTCTTAATTTTCTGGTGGGTTTTTTTTTTTTAAACAAAGGGAAAGATCAGGTGCTTTTTTGGGTGGGTCATTATGGATAATGTTAAGACCCAGTATTTTTTGTTAGAAAATCCTAATTTGCAAACCCTTTTATGGTGACACGAATTGCTAACTTAGTTTTGTATATATAGCACGATTGATGTTTTCGCACTGATGGACTGAGGGAGGTTGCCATGAAAATTTATACCCTTTTGGTGGACTTACAAGAAATCCAGTGACAGTTGCTGTATTCACATTTCTGAGAAACGAGAAAAAGGATGATCGCAGAGAAGCCCAATTGGGTGAGGCATGAGGGAATGCAGATATTCTCCATTGATGTGCAGCCTGGTGGACTTAGGTTTGCAACTGGCGGAGGTGATCATAAGGTAATAATCCATCTGAATTCTCTGTATTCTGTTGTTGGCAGATAAAACAAGAGAAATGGAGAGGAAGTTGAAGTTTTTAAATGAACCCACCAGCCAATGGTGTAAAGTTCCACTAATCTGTTTAGTTAGTAAAAATTATCCATGGGCCTTTTTAACAAAGAACCTTGTTGTCTGGGATTCATTTTAGCACGGACATAAATGAGACTTCTAAGTTTGAAATAGGTTGTTTTGATCCTTTGAACTTCGTTTTCTTGAACCCATTCGTGTTACATTTGTTTTATGATTCTCATATTTTGGTAGTAGCATACTTGTCATTAATGTGATGCATTTAAGTTTTGTTATTTGAATGATATTGCTTTCTTTTGATTTTGCTTCTTGATATTTTCCTTGGAAATTGTTTTCTCATATACTTTTTGCACTTGTTTAGAACTTTTAGGTGTATTTTACTAAGGTCTCTAATGTGGCACTTAATTTTCTCAAACTTCATGTAATTTGTTCATCAGTTAAACTTAGCCAATTTGTTGTAGTTTTTACCCAATCTTGAGGTAAGATTTATACTCATTGAGTGCTGTTCTGGAATTTAACTCTTGCATATGAAGGAGCTTATATATTGGTAGATATAGCTGTTACAAAGAGGAAAAAATAAGAAACTAATTTCAAAAGATAAAATCAAATCTGTAGGTAAATTGGATGCCCTCAACAATATTTCATTTTTTTTGAAATAAAAGGAAAATATTATTGTGCACAAGATATCAAGGGGGTACCACTCGAATACAAACTAGTTACATGTCAATTAAATGATCTATGATAACACCAAAGTCCCACATATCTTTGATGTCATAGCCTAACAAAATAGAGGTAAAAATAAGAATCCATCTATTTCTAATTTTTGTAAAGTTAGTCTCTATACTCTCAAAAGCTATTCCACTCATTTCCTTCCACACTATCCAAAATATTGTAAGTGGAATAAGAAACAAATGATATTTCTTTTTACAAATGCCCACCCACGCCCACAACTCATTACTCACACTCCTAGGCATAACCCAATTTAACCCTAACAGCCCAAAATAGATGTCCATATGCTATATGTCACTGGGCAGAATAATAATAAGTGGTTGCACGATTCCTCAGCAGCATGACATAAGTATCATCTATCAACAAGCACATTTTCCTTCCTTTTTAGCATATCCAGGGTCAAAATACATTCATTGGCCGCCTCCCACGCAAAAAAAAGTCATTTTAGGAGGGACTTTAGATTTCCAAATTTGCTTATAAGGAGCTGACATGCTGCGGCTGTTATCCTTCTTAGTTAGACA